AAACTTCTTAGAGCTTTTTGTGGTACATCCGCTGTAACCATCTGCTTTCTTCCACACACGTCCCTGAGCTGGTTACTAACATGTGAACTAACATCTATGAAACAGACTGGCACTGAGATACACACTTCTTCGTAGAAGTATAATGATTTTTAAACATGTACGTATTATAAAGAGAATAGTAAAAAGCTATGAACAGCAGTATATGGGGGATGAGAAGGTATTTGCTGACTTGTAACAGTTAATCTAGAAATGTTTCTTTTCAAATGCAGCTGCCAAGAATTTGAAACCTCTTGGTTGGCCTCCCAGTGTTGTTCTTATTGATCTACAGTGTGCTCTAATGCAGGGGGAAGAAAGGGATACAGTGATGGGCAGGAATAATCAAGCTGCTGGCATGCCAGCATCCTGCTTGAGTGGCCCTTCTTGTTTCTTGTGTGATTATGAATAATTCAGAAATTCCACCTACTCCAAGTGGATAGGAAACGATGGTGAATGTTGGTATGCACTTCCAGATTAGTACCCAAATGTGGTCAGGTATTGCAGGCAGAAATTAAAGTTTGTATGTGGTACACATGAAATGCAGTGGACTAGATTCAGTTGCGAGGATGAGTCTCTCGAGGTGTTCTTGAAAGATGTTGTGCTGCTTTTAGGATTTTGGACAGAAAACATCAACGAAATAAAACCTCTTCACATTGTGTTTCATGCAATTAAGCTATTAAGAAAAGCACTTAATGTGCTTCATTTTCTGAATGGTGACTAAAATTCCTACTTCACCAAGTTAGAAGTTCTATTTGGAGGATTCAGCTACTCTCAGCATTACAGTGTAAGATTGCTTGCAAGTTTTGTCAGATCTTTTTTTTATTCTTGCAAGCATAGAAATTAGTTTTGAGTCATCTAATGGAAATATTGGACAATCCCTACTGTTTAAGGCAGGAGGCTGGGAAGATATGGATCTGGGCAGAGAAGCTGAGTAACTTATTTGCATAAATTACTGACTTTCTCCACTGAAGACTGAGCACGTGCCTATTATCAAGGTATTTTATTAGCCCTAGGCATGGTTTGAGAAGCAAAAACCCATAAGTGTCTTTGGACCTCCTGAAAATGGGGTTGGGGTCATACATAAATGCTGTTGTAAAGGTGGTATTTTGAAATGATCCTATTATCGCTGATATTAGAATCCCAAAATCTAAGGGCAGAGGCAGGGAGTGTAATTCCCTTGGGTATACAAAATGTCTGCAATGGGTTTGAAATCATCTCACTTCTGAACTGCTTTCATGTCTTTAAACACAGCTGAAATACTAGCAGAGATAAAAGTAAAATAAATCCTGTTGTTTTGACTCTACTCTGAACATGAGTTGCTAAGGGAAGCAGTTGAAAAAGAAGCTTTAATACAGTGCTATTTTGGTTGAAATTATGCTTGACAGCATTCTTACTGTTAACATGCATTAAGAAAGTTAAGGGTTTATATAATGAGCCCATTAAACTTCAAGCTCAAGCTGCTTCACCATGCTGTTTTTCTTTGTGCACCGTGCCAGCTTCCAGTATATCAGAGTACACAAGTGTTCCAGAGGCTGGTGGAAATAGTAAAGTACGTTATTAGGAAACAGCAGAACTGCAGGCATAAAATGAGTTTTTGAAAGGTCTGTACATATATGTCTCTCTTAGCCAGAGAGATGTTGCAACTTTTCATTTCAAGCCCAGCACCAATTGTGGAGGCTTTGAGGATGAGCACGCCTGCACTTTCACTTGTGTTACATATCAGAATCTTCACACGTCATATTTTTTTAATGTGACAGAAGAAAATGGTAAAATTAAGTCACATCCTTGCAACAGCCTTCTTGGATGCAGTCAGTCCTACAGCAGCAGCATTTCACTCTTGCGTTGAGTCCATCAGGATTATTGCAGCTGCTTTGCTTTTGAGGAATTTGTGATTGTATCTATACCGTAAAATTGAAATCCTGACAGACAGGTGTGTAATATCCAATGATTTTATTTGTAAAGAGAGACCTGTCATACAGCAAAAATGTGTAGCATTTTATTATATACTCTGCTTTATTAGGCTGCTAAAGGAATATTGGATAATGCAGTTCAGTTATTTTTTTGTCTGCAAAGCTGGACTTGAAACAATTTCTGGCTCAAAACAGCTCAATAACACGAATCCATTCAATGCTATTATTAGAAAAGAAAAATCAGTGTTTGATCTCTCTTTAATCGTCTCATGCTATTTTAATAGCTCCAAGTTTGGTGATGCATGTACTGCTTTGACTCATGTGTCTCTTGTTGTGCTGTACCACAAATTACAGGTTTTCTTCCTGTGCTGTGCTGGTTCACGGTGCAGCAAATCTTTGTGTCCTATAGTCTTCAGCAGCTTTTTCCTGCCTGCTCTGCAGTATGAAAGAGAGCTGTTTGCCACATGTGGAAGAGACAGCTATGCTTAAATCGGATCAAATATTTTGATGTGGCTATGGTTTGCTGTAATCACTTTTTCTTCAAACAAGGCTGTGCTGAGAAATGCTGTGTTACAAGAACATATTGGCAATGGTACATAAAGAAAGAAAATCAGTCTAATTTAAGAGCCCAATAAAACTGACTGAATAGTTTTCAGTACTCTGTGTGAGTGTTCTTTAGGAAGAAAGAATCCTGTGTCGCTGTTAATCTCTTTGAAACCTTCAAGTACTTTGTTGCTGTAAGCATTGAGCTTGCCAACTTCTGGCAGATAATTACTTTGTTCTCTTTCAAATTGAACGCATTCAATTCAGTCTTCCCATTCAGAAAAACAAATTCTTCTTGGGTGTTTTTTTGTTCACAGTTCAATAAACACTTATGAGCAGGTAATGTTATATTTTGCGAGTGTTCACAGGGGAAATGGGAAGCATTTTGAGGACTAAGATGAGAAATGCATCAGTATGTGCTATGAAGGAGACTTGCAAAGGCTTGGCATAGAGGGGAAAAATCTTTGTGATCCGAAAATAAAAATACTTTAAAAATAGTGAGAAAATGTTAGATAACTACTTTCACTCCTCTTCTGTCTATAAAATAATTCTTGTAACATAAAGTTATCAAATGAAAAAAAAAATTAAATGAAGCAATCTGAAAACCAGAATTAGTTCTCAATTCTGCTTCTTCTGGGGTCTTTTCTTTTTCTGACTTAGGACAACACATAACAATATATAGTTAAAGTACGTATTCATTTAGAAAGAATGCTGAGACTTATTCAGTGAGACGGCTGAGATATTATTGAAGGACTGTAAAATGTACAGCCTTCTGTCCAGAACAAAAGCCTCATTAAAGAAAGAAGAAGCTTCTTACACCATGTTAATAGGACCCATCCTCCTTTTCTCTTGGAGCTGTGAAAGGTTATTTTCCCACTGCTTGCTATTGTGTTACAACACTGATGCTCTATCACTTCTATTGTGCACACATCTCAAACCCAGAAATGATTTCTATTCTTAATTTAAACAAAACCAGCTGTGCACAAATCAAAAATCTGAAAAAAAGGAGCATGTGTACTCACTGGTCCTGCTTTCTGGTATGTTACAGAGGAGCTTTATGAACTTGGGACAATCATGCTGCAAAAATGGTTTAAAAATATGCACGAGGAGAAAAAAGCTGGCACTGTTTTAGTGCTTTGCACTACTGTCACCATAGTAACACTGCGTTCAAACTATGTTTGAACACTTGTAACAAACTGTTTTTATTCTTATAAAGGAAGATTTAAGAGACCTTTTCTTTTCCAGCACCACCATTGCATTCTTTCTGCAGCTGCTGCTTATTTTCTTCCACACCCTCTCCCTGTTGGTGCTGTTCCTGTGCTGCAACCCAGACATATTCAGAACAGTTAAAATTCTTTAAAAGGACAGAGTGGATGTTTTAGCTCTTCAGAAGAATTGTTTCATGTTCTGCTCTCAGATTTAATTTGTTTCTGAAGTTTTTTTCTGCATTTGGGACACCTTGCAAATACCACATTTCTACCAAATCAACTAGGTTCTGATAATAGCAAAAATGAAAGCAGTCAGAATTTGGAAAGAATTAGTTACTGTACTGCTGCCCCATGAGTAAAAAAACCCAGACAAATAAAGAGAATTGGAGGTACGCTAATGACTATTAAAAAAAAGGGAAGGAATATGCAGTTGTGTTGTATTCTCCAGTCACAGTAGTTCTAAAACTAAAATTCAACAAGTTTACTATTGGGGATGACTCTAATTTTCATCTTTCCTGTTTTACTGATCTCTGATTCTTAACTATCCTTTCAGACTGTGTCTGATTTAATACCATCTTCCCTGTGTGTGTCAAGTATTTAAGAGATTAACTTATTTACATGACTGTATTCCTTAACCAGAATTAAAGCTATTGCTAGCTCTGCATTAGTGCATGAAGTTTAAATTTTCAGAAGTATGAAATGACCTCATTTTATTAGAAAGACTTACTGCGTGTTGTTGGACAAAATAGTAAGCTGATAAACTGCAGTGAAATGAATACTCTGTGCATAGGGAGCTTGAGAGCTCTATTAGCTTAAGAAACAGGCTTTGAAATGTTCTTATTAGACCTTTGGGAGCTGTGTGGAAAGCCCTCTAGACAGCTTGGTGAAACACCGATAATTAGCGTGTGGGTTTTTTAATCCAAGATATAATTGTTTTGTCTTGTGGTATTTTAGAACTGGAGGGTCTTATTTTTCTATTACTGCTGACAAGAGGGTTGTCATTGTACATAATGAACAACTTTGGTTTTGGAGGGAGGGGAGAAATGGGGTATTTTGTGTGTTGTTTTAAAAACATTTACCTGGAAAGGCCTATATTAGGAATGTATTAGTAAATTGATTGTTTGGAATGCACCATGGCATTTTTCAGCTACAATGTGGACTTCAGGAAGGCTCAGTCCCTTGTGTGAAAGGTACGAAGGGCACTGTGCCTCCAAATGCTGGTGGTGTCAAAAAGGAACCCTATGCACACCCTTGGAAATTAATTCTGATGATAGTTTGTTTTCTTTTCTCTCCATCCTTATAGGCATATGAAAGAAGGTTTCCAACGTGTCCTCTGATCCCTATGTTTGTAGCCAGTGACACTGTAAATGAATACAAGAGCGAGGATGAAGCTATCCATGTGATAGAACGGCGTTGTAAGCTGGATATAGATGCACCACGGCTGTTGAAAAAGGTGATTAGGCTTGAAGTGCCTGTTTTATACTTCTGGATACTTTCATGTGAATGCTGTATCTTAACAGAATCTGTGTCATCTTCCTCAGATTGCAGGAGTGGATTATGTCTACTTTGTCCAGAAGAATTCTTTGAACAGACGAGAAAGGACTTTGCATATAGAAGCCTACAATGAAACCTTCTCTAATAGAGTCATTATTAATGAGCACTGCTGTTACACAGTGAGTAACAGGCTCTCGGTGGTGCTACAGATGGAGCTATGTCAGTGTTTAGATTTCAGGATTCATAAACAGAAGTTGGGTTGTTCTTGGCTCTTGCCTTGCAAGAAAAAATAACTAACACACCGCCATGAGTGATAATTGTTGCTAGTGTTAAAAGTAACACACTTGCTTGAAGAACTGAGACAAGTTTGGCACCCTCATGTTTGAGCATCTTCTCAGAGAGCAGAACACAACATAATTGGCTGTGTTTGACAGCTCTGTTCAGGCGAATCTGTGGTCTGTAATAGCACTGTAGGGCTTGGTGAAGCTGATGATGCTCTGACAGAACTGTTAAAGGAAAGTTCAGCATAGCTTATTTGCCTTCTGCTCAGCTCAGACAAATGTTCAAGTCAGTTATGTTTTAACCTAATTCTCTCCATCCTTCTTGATCTTCAGTGCAGACGTTTTCTAATGCAGAGGAGCCTGGTGGCATGCTTACTGCTGTGCTCTGGTCATGTTTTATTTTCTGAATGGCTAAGTCAATATTCACAGGCTCATACAGCAGACATGTGTAGCAGTAAAACTTCAAATCGATGAAAAAGGTCAAATCAAAGCTAGCAAATGTGACCCATTTATTTGTACTGTAGCTTTCTTTTTATGTGCAGGTGATAACATTCTCTGTTGTGTACAGAACCATGGTTAAAAAGTCACTGGATGTCAGACCCACTTGACACTATTATCTGATTTCATTATTATTACTATTTCTGCAATTATTTCCAAGGCATATTTAAAAATACTTTTCCACCTGCAATTTTTCTGTGAAAGCTCAGTTTAAACAGGGGAAATGCTATACAGAAAATGACATGTGATAAATATATACAAAACACACCACTTCTCCTTGCCCTTGCTCTCTACTCGATCAAGAAATTGTTAGGTAAATGCAAAACAGAATTTTAATTCAAGAATAAATAGTTTTTGAAAGTTAATTCTTATTAGTTTTATAACTGAATTTATGAAAGAACAGGAAGATTCTTAAATGTTACGATTTTTGCTAAAGCTGTATAAGCTATTCTTGTAATCCTCATTCTCTAATGCAGAAAAAAGCAAATTAAGGCAAATTTTTTTTGGTGTAGTTGTCTCATTATAAAATGTTGATACTGTTCCCAGTCAGTTTTGGCATGTTGTGAAGTGGAGGGTGATCTTAAGGCATCAGGACAATTGAACACTCAGAAATCCAGCCTTCCATGATGTTTGTATAAATATGAATTCAGAGCCCAGCCTGGAAATTCCTTAGGCAAGTGTTTTTTAGCTGAAGAGAGTTTAGAAAACAGCTTTACTTCACCGTAGTAACATCTGTTTCAGGATCGTCTCTCAGCAAACTAAGATACAGCCGAAGAAGAAATTTGGGAGTGGTCTGAGGCAGCTTATTCAGCTGTGACCTGTTTCAGAAGTTTACACTTCTCTAGCATTATTGTAGGAGAACAAAGTAAAATAGTCCTTAGTCTACAAAATACTAAGATACTTCATAGGTTAATGAGGAGATGATCTATTGCAGTGTGTCTGTTGCAAACGTGTCTAGACTGCAGTGCTTGGAAACGCTAACACTGTACACGCTGCAGTCCTTAGGCTTAGCTGGCCTTGGCCTGGCAGTCCACCCCACAGCAGCAGCAGAAAGTTCACTGGGAAGTGTTTTACCCTGTTCCACAGATACACGGCTACAGTCACGGCCCACTTCTAGAATGAGATCGTGTTAATTGTATAAATGTGCATGTCTTTTGGCTCTTGGCTAGTGCACTAGTATTTCTCTACCTGCTCCTTTCTTATGAAGAGAAAAAATGTGCTGTGCTAGCCGTGGGACTTCAGGAGGGCATCTCAGCTTTCCACTCTTTAGTGTTACCTTTTCCAAACTGTTTTGCAAATGAAGCAGAAGACTGAATTCCACTTGAATGGTTTTGAGTATGTGAACCTGTAAAACAAGAAACAGTGATTTCAGATTTTGTGAAGAAAAAAGAACTAAATGGGTAGCTAAACTGTATGACCTTCTTTCGACTAATAGGTTCATCCTGACAATGAAGACTGGACCTGTTTTGAACAGTCAGCAAGTCTGGATATAAAATCTTTTTTTGGTTTTGAAAGCACAGTGGAAAAGATTGCCATGAAGCAGTACACCAGCAATATTAAAAAGGTGAGCCTGCAGTCATGAAGGAGGTGCCTGGCTCTAAGTTACCAAAAGACAATGTAGCTGCTGCTAGGTAACAGGCTGCTCTGCTCAAAAAGCTGGGCTCTTTACTCTTTAGCCCGGGGCAGCATGTGTGTGTAGGTCTGTATTTTCAAGTGGAATCTTTAAGTGGCCAGACCTCTCTAATACATTTCCAGCCCAATTCTTTCTGTGTCTAAATGGGTGTTTTTAGTAGCTGAAGTAATTTTTTTTTTCTGAAGGGAAAAGAAATAATAGAATACTACCTGAAGCAGCTGGAGGAAGAAGGAATAACTTTTGTTCCTCGTTGGACTCCTCCTGTTGCATGTAAATTGGAGAGCAGCACATCCCACATAAGACGACCAGTTTCACCTGCTATTAATATACCAGACTCTGCCACAAAGGAGGGTTTGAACAACAAGGAGATCCTCAACACCTCAAGCAGCCCCTCGGAGCCCACAGCAGGAACTCCTGATGGTATGGTGGTCTGACTTGTTTTAATGGGATTCTTTGTACTGTAGGTGCTCTCAGCACTGTGCTGCTTCTCGTGGGCAGCTGAAATTCATTACGTTGGCTCTTTGGCAATGTGCAGTGTTAAAGTGCAGGCTTGCAAAGCAGTAGCCTGGGATAGCTTGGATAGCAGTTATGAGCTGATCTTTTTAGTAAATGAAGATCAGATATGAGCAGAAAAACTTTGCTTTGCTGTTCGTTGGATTGCAAATGTATGGCCTACTTCTTGCCCTGAGATTCAGGGATGAGTGTAACTGTAAGAATAACAGGGAGGCAAGGACTGAAGCTGCCCTGGACACAATCTTCTGTTGTATCTTGCTTCCCCTGTAAATATGGGAATTTGGGAAAATTGTTGCACTGCAATATTTAGGTCAATGCTTCTCTAAGTAGTTCCAGAAGCAGCAAGCGCTATGGTGCTGTGGATTGACAAATCTGAATATACTAGCAAAATGCTTCTATAAATGTCTGGGCTTATTCCTTTCTTAGTTGCAGGAGAATTAATCTTCTTGGTTTACCATTAAGATGACTGTGTATGTTGCTTCGCTTATCTTTTCATTAATTCAAAGAGACCTTATTCAGTTCTGACTGCACAGAACATAAAGCATCTGCTTCTCTGCCTCAGATATCAGCATATAAGATCATTTGCTGCTTTGATAAGGTCAGTTCAGGACTACTCTAATCACTTGTATGTGTCCTTTTAGACAAGCTAGATGCAGATTACATCAAGAGGTATCTGGGTGACTTGACACCAATGCAGGAAAGCTGCCTCATTCGGCTGAGGCAGTGGCTCCAGGAGACGCACAAAGGCAAAGTAAGTTACTGTTGGTGTCTCAGAATGTGTGATATGCATGGTGGATGTGATGCAACATGCCATACCTCCTGTGGCTAACTGTTCTGTTAAGTGGTCTTCCGTGATCAAACCCTAAATAAGGTCTTCTGTACAGTAGCAGTAGCAGAAGTTCACTGTGGCTGTCCAGCTGACTTGGCCAGCTGAGGTGCTTAAACAAATAGTGTGACTACTTCTCAGAATGTCAATAAACCAGCACAAGGGAGTAACATCATGTTTGTAAGTTGGCCTGGTTCTACAATAACCTTATTTTTACATTTGTTTGCTTTGACCAAACATATCTCAAATCTATGTCCTTAAGTGCAATACTGAAAGGGAAGCGAAGTGGCCAGTTAAATCACTGATAGCAAGGCTGGGGGTTTTCCAGTGGCTTGTGATTTGCATGTATGTCTCAGCTTCCTTTTCCTTAGCAATGAAATGCAGTCTATGTTTTGTCCTTAGATTCATTTAAATTGGACTGACTTAGTATGGTCATACAGGTGTAAATGATTACATTAGAGTTCATGAAATTTTTATACCTCTTGTACAAAGGTAGCTGCAGTACCTGACAAGGGCTTGTTTCTGTTGCAAAGAAAGACTGATTTGCTTGAGTAACTTCCACTGTTACATACCATCCTCTTGCACTGAGGCATGTTTTTCAGCTTTTGTTTTTTTTGTTGTTGTTGTTCTTGTTTCAGACCTTGAATACAAAATTACATTGGCGTTTGGTTTTGTTTCTTTTGTTTATTTGTTTTGAGGTTTTTTGTTGTTTGGTTTTTTTAATAGATCCCAAAGGATGAGCACATTTTAAGATTCCTGCGTGCCCGGGACTTCAACATTGATAAAGCAAGAGAGATCCTTTGCCAGTCGTTGACATGGCGTAAGCAGCACCAGGTAGACTATATTCTAGACACCTGGAACCCTCCTCAAGTACTCCAAGATTACTACGCAGGAGGCTGGCACCACCATGACAAAGGTATGGTTTATAGGGTGGATATTGAACAGCTTTTAGTGTTCTGAATTAAAGGTGATAGTTGTCCCTCTGTTAACTGGAGGTGACTGGAAAGATGGTTAGAACTTCTCAGTTGCTATGTACTAAATGAATTTAAATTGATGTTGCGAGCTCCTTAGTTGGCGAAGGCAGACTCCTAGTTCCTAATATTTCTGACTAATACTGACGTATTTAACTCTCTAAAGAGCTCTGCTTCACCAGTAGCTTAAAAAGTTGTTAATTGCACTTCTGTAGTGCTCTGAGATGCTTAGAAGGATGTTATGCAAATGCTGAGTATTCTATTTCAGTGATTAAAAGATGTTTGTAAATAAGTATATCTTTCTAATCAACTTATTTCTGATGTTGGATAAGTCTGCTGATGGCATAAATGAGTACTTATTTGGCATTACAATCAGCTTAATGATGAGAAGTGGGATGTTGCCAAAACATCAAACAGAGCAGGTTTATTTAAGAAGGGAAGAAGCTTTGGCTGAATTCCCTTTGTACGGTGAGCCATGGCCAGGTCTTTAAAACATGGACGACTATGCCTGACATGCTCTCCTATCCCTCCACTTGTTTTATCTTGCACTGATCTTGTTGCTAATACATACACAAAAATGAAATGTTTTGGAATTTGTTGCTTGAGGCAAGCTGGGCTCTTTAGATAAGGAAATTATCTCTTACTGTGAGTTATCTGTGTTCTGATTTAGTCTTTTCCCCACTAAGCACCATTGTTTCTGCTAGCTCTTCCTGCTACAAGAAGCATGTGAAGCAGGACAGGAAACTGTCAGCAGCAGTGGCCAGGAGACAGGGAGGACACAGCAGAAGTTTAATCACTGAAGTTTATTCAAGCTGAAGAGCTTGAATAGCTTTCCCCTGCTGCTTTGGGTTTGACAGACCTCAAACTGAGAAAATGGAAAATGACAAATGCTTGTAAAGCCCCTGTGAATAAGTTCTCCCATTCTGTTGGTTCCTTGTCCTTTCTTTGCCAAGACTTCCTCTGTCAATAGCACAAAACTGGGTTCTGCCAGTGAGTAGAAAGGCACAGAATGCATCAAAGGGTGGTTTAATGTTTTTCTGAGACGTTCTTCAGTCTTGTGGTGAACTTCATGCCCTACTCCGCCCTTCCCCTGGAGTTCCTTTGGTCTCTTTTGTAGCACTCCCACAAGTAAAGCATAGGTTTGTCAATAATGGAAATAGAGAATTTCAAAACTGAGCAATTCTCTATAATTTAAAATTTCAGTGTTGGGTTCTTTTTTTAAACCCTCTTTTCTGGTATTGCTCCTTTCCTCCTACATATGCAAAATGTGCCAAACTGAAGCTAGTTGAATTCTGTATAGCTTTTAGCACTAAAGCAAAGGCAGCTGCGGTTATTAAGCATGTTGTCTAGAACGAGCTGTTAGTGCAAAAGAACAAAAGTTAATTTGGCTTAAAATTGGCACAGTTTTCTATACATCTGAGTGGCTTTTATTTTGACAAGAGTGCTTCAGTCAATTTTTTTCTTTAAAATCACGAAGCTCTAATGGAGTATAAAATGTACAGTGATAATACAGCACTGTCAGTTGAGACTTTCCTTCGTGTGTTATTTGGGTGGACCTGGGTTAGTAAACTATTAGTTCGGTTTTTCGGATGCATGTGCATCTGTGAGGAGGGAGACCTGCTATAAAGGTTAATAGCTCTTTTTGTTTAGTGTTTCAAAAGCTAAACATTACAGTCCAAGATAAGTGTGCTGATGTTAAAACAACACTTTCTTTTAGACCACCTGATAAAATACAAAAGACTGTGAACTTTCATGGAGGTAGTGTCTTTGCCAAATAAATAACTTGACTCTGCAGTTTTGTTTGTTTGTTTAATAGCATATCTTGAGGGTTTCTTTCCTTGTGTCCCAAAGGACTTAATAATCATTTGTTACTGCTCTTTACAGTTGTTGCAGGGAAGTGAAGCTAAACAGACAACAGGACTTCAGGGAGATTTTTATGTGGAAAGCTGGTTTTTAATTTTTGTGTCATAGTATATTCAGTTTTATAAGTTGCTGATTATTTAGCTTGTGTACTAGAATAGATGGAGCAAAGCTTAAAAAAATGTATCACAGCTTTGGGAAAAGGTTGGAAGCTGTTTTGGACAATTAGCTGCTGTTACAAAGAGCCACAAATGCAAGCTTTGGTTCTCAAATTCAGGCAATGTAGTTGTTAACACTTAATGCCTCTGTATCCTGGACAGTATCAGGATGCCCCAGTATGCAGCGAGATGACCGTGAAAAGTCAAGGCTTTGGATGCAGAGGGTCCATCTGCAGCTCATCTCTGGAACAGAATCTGTTCTTACCAGGCTTAACCTGCCTGTGAGGCTGTGTGCCAGTGCCACATAGTGTGTAATGACACAGTGAAAGGTGTGACTTCAGCAAATGTTGCAGAAAGCAAGTCTGTGGGTTAAAGCTTTGTTTTGTTTAATTCCCAGAACTCAGGGTAGCTACCCAGAGCGGTATTGTGCCATGTGTGATAGCAGCCTTTGCTACAACTCTTCATTACCCTAATGGACTAAAGCTTTTCCTGTGTCTCAGCAGTCCTGGAAGCTAATTACAGTTCTGGTCTGTAATTGTGTTTACCAAGGTCTTGTGTGTACCGATTTACTTGTTGAAGCCCTTTGAACTTTCCTTGCAGATAGAGGAGTTATTTTTGTATCAAGATGTGTCCATTAAACTTTTGCAGCTCACTTACAGGCAGTCTCTTGGTGTAGCTGAACACAGTAAAGTTTGTATTGCCATCTGCTCCAGGTTCTCCCTCTCTCAGCTGTATAACAAAATTTGAACTGATTATGGTTTGTTTCCATTTGGATTTTTAGCATAAAACTAGTTCACTCAAATTGTCTTTGCTGTAAAAATAAGGGTTATGTTGGTATATTTCTTCTCGTTTTTCAGATGGTCGCCCGCTGTATGTGCTAAGATTGGGACAGATGGATACTAAAGGCTTAGTACGAGCTCTCGGGGAAGAGGCCTTGCTTCGATATGTAAGTATTTTTGGAGTCAGCAAGTTGCTAACAATGTGATATTTTCATTTAGAAATTTTCTCTTCTGCCAGAACATTCATCACTGGATATTTTGATGTATTCTCTGGCAGTCTGTTTTTGGATCAAATACATCTGAAAGCTCCTGGTAGCTGATCTTCTGCATTCTTTCCAACTGCAAGCTGATGGCGGAAAGGCGTAGTTCTTGGCAGCTCCTATAGATATTGGTTAGCATTTTCACAGGTTCCTCTGCAGTTTGTGCAGTGCTTCAAACTTAAGTCTCTGCATTAGTACAGAAGAGAAATACCATGCTCAGATTTTGTCAAGCCTGTACTCCAAGGATAAAAATAGTTCCTTTTGAAGGAAAAAGTACTTGCCTGTAATTTTGCCTTCTCTAAAGGCATCACTCAGACTGTGTTACTGTGGATCTGCTCAGCTTCCAAGAAGAAAGCTAGCAGAATTCCAGGTTTGCAATATTTGAATTTTTTTTTTTTGCTCCAGGTAATGACAGCTGCAGCCCATAGTAACCACAAGATGCAGGAGTGAGATTTTACTTTTTCTCTTCCGGTGGCATTTCCAGGCACATATTAAATTTTGTTTGTATGCCCTAGTTCTGTTTCCAGATTACTTTCTGTGACTTTAAAAGGGGCTTTAATTTCTAAGTAAATAGGAAATCAATGCTTAAAGGGACAAAAGTGTAGGGAGACTTCTTGTCTGTATCGCTCAGTTTTCAGGAGGATCTTGTTTACATTTTACTGCCTTTTTGGGAGGTTATGTTTATTTTTCAACCAGATCAAGCAATGGGGTAAATGTAGTGATTTCTAGTTCATTCTTTGGGAAAAAACCTTTTATGCTGGCTTGAGCTTGTAGTTAGCCTTTGGATATAAACAGTTTTTTCTTTATCACTTCTACTGAGTTCAAGACTGTCTTCTCTAAACAACATGTTTTCTTGTACAGGTTCTCTCAATAAATGAAGAAGGACTGAGGCGATGTGAGGAGAATACAAAAGTATTTGGCAGGCCGATAAGGTAAAATACAACAAGTAGATCTGCTCTTTTGGCATGACCTGGATTCACAGTGTGCATGGGGGGAACATCAGGCAATGTGATGCTGCTGGGCAAAGTTTATGAAACGGCACAAGCAAAGGATTGGCTGTGTCTTGCATGCAGATAGAAGCACAGTTACTGAGAGCCTCCCCAGTTACCACTGGAGTCAATCTGCATGGTCAAGCCTGAGGGAAACACACCACCGGTTCCAGCAGTCTCGGTGTCGTGCTTGTAATGGTTCTACATGGGGGTGTTGTGCTTCTGCTCTTTTACCGTTGTGCATCTGCAAAGCAATGCAGCCTAACTCCCACTTCTGTTTCTGGGGGATGTTATAGACAGACATTGGTACTGGCTGCCAAAGAAAGTCAGACTATAAGAATGTCACAGTTAACCTTTCCACTAGTTTCAGGTCTTGTTTTTATATCGGTTGTTCATCCATAGCACATACCAGGGCTCATTACACTCAGTTCTTGTTTGCATTCCACATTTATTATGTGTGGTTACTTTATCCAAGGTGAGGCCAGGAAGCTCCAGTGAAACCTGTGGTCTTGTTTTCCAAATAATGACATGACTTCATGTGAAGTTCAGTCAAAAAATGGCTTGCTATCCCATCTTTAAGTTGTTGTAGAGGTCACTTATGACAGTGTTAGCTGCAAAATGGATTTAAGGGTGTGGAATTAATGCGGGGCTGGCCCTGGAAAGAAACAGTGTTTGTTGGTCTCTTTTCA